GATGTGGGCCGGGCGGGAGAGACGCCGCTGTCTCAACTGGCCCCGCCACAACTCAGCCTTAGGACTACGACTGCAGATGCGGTGGCAAAAGGATGCGCTTTAAGCCGGAATCCAGAGCGAATGCGCCTCTCATACAAGCCTAATGCGGGTATGGAAAGGAGCTCCCTGAACCCCAAATAACCGCGGTAAGAAAAGCAGGCAAGGCACGCAGCATATTCACAAATACCGTTCGAGCCCCGTGTTCCAATGAGCCGGACTGTGCCCCGTCGGCTGCAACATGTAAGCCGCGCCAAGGGCTCATCAACAGTTGCAATGAAGGGAAAGGTTCGCCGGTTTCGGCAAGTCCCGTGGACATCGGCCTTCACTTCATCCCCGAAGGCACATTGGCCCTCCCACGGCGCCAACCGCAAAACACTTTTACAGCGCCCGCGGGAGGGGAAGGGCACCCCCGACATTGTCCATAGGACATGCCAAGACCGGCCAACAACCCGCCCCACAAGTGAACAGGAGGTAGGGGGGGAGCACACACTTGGAAAAACACAGGAGATACATATCATGCTGCACGCCAGAAGCGGATGCCACACTAACGCACGTCGCAGGAGCAGCCCCACATTGCATGGTTCGCTGAGTCGCAGTTGCGCGCATATTTCGCATGCGCGGTTGCCTCTGCCTCTCCGTGCGTCGCACTCGCGAACACAACTCGCGACATGCAATCGCTGATCGATGAACTATCCTGCAGCCGGAATGCATGCAGTGAGACTTCCGGCCGTTCATCTAGTTGGCACATTGTTGTCCTCATCCGTCGCTCGGGGCCCTGGTCGGCTACGCGGTGAGAGGCGTCCTCCTCGATGGCGAAGGTCTCTTCGCACGCGGAGTCGTAGTCATCCTGCGTCGCCATCGTGTACCTGTGGCTGACGTGCGCGTCGCGGTCGTCACTCCACTCGCACCAGTACCGGTGGCCGTCGCTATCCTGGGTCCAGTGCGCGCCCTAGTCGCGGCCGCATTTTTTTTCGTCGCACTGGCCATCTTCGGAGCCCTCGAAGTAGGTCCACCACATCGGCGGCTCTCTCGGTCGAAGGGTTTTCCAAAGATGCTTGGGGTCCCCTGGGGGCATCTTCTTCAAGGTCACGCTGATCTTCGCGAATTGGAGCGTCTCGTCCGCCCTGGCCAGGACCGTCTGCTACTCATCCTGGTCGAGGCCTAACTTCCCGAGCGCCCAGTATCCCAACTTTTTGTCGCTGATCGTCGTCCCGCTTTCGATCTTCTTCAGGTGCACCTTCACCACTTCCATCGCTGCGCTGAACGCCGCGATGGGTCGTGCTCCGCGTCTTTCGAACTGCGTCTCCTTGTGGACTCTCGGAAGTTCACTGAGGTTCGTCCAGATGAACCCGGCTGCCCCAGGAATTGGATCAGCTTCCTCGCTCCATCTTCTTCGGCGAAATGCGATGGAACACGCTGTTCGACCATCGCTGAGATGCGGCTGTTCAGGGCCAGCAGGGTTCTTGTGGAGTCTGAGATGCGGCTGTTCAGGGCCAGCAGGTTCTTGTGGAGCCTGGGGCCCAGCAAAGCTTTGTCCTTCCCGTCATGGCAAGACAGCGCGCTGGCCTCCACAACTCTCCTGTATCTGGCAGAGTCCTTGAGGCTTTCGCTCGCCAGAGCCGCTACCACCGGGTCCGCGCCAGGTGCGTTGTCAATCTAGCAGGTATACGTGGGGGTGGCCAGCCATTGTGGCATGTAGAATACGAAGAGAACCCAGGAGGGCCAACCTCTTGCTCCGCGACCCACCTCGGTGCTCCTTGATCCTCCATCGGAATACGAAGGGATGGTCACTCTGGTATCCAGGAAAATCTGGATGATGTGACACTCGTCGCCGCGCCTACGCTATCGCTGCATCATAGGAAGCGCATAGGAAGGACTCGGCTATCTCACTGGGGCTCAGGGCGCCTCAGCGGTCCGATCATTCACGTCCACAGCGTGCAACGTGAGCTGCACGTGTACGTGCACGAGCGCACGAAATCGCACATATCGGTTTCATCATGCCGGGTCTATAGGGACTCGGTTGGTGCGTGGATATCTCGTGCGCCAAGAGAACGTTGCTTTCGCCCGCCTGTGTGTTTCCCAGGGCGCCCGCGACACAATGGCGAGACGCTCGGGACCACGGGCCGAGGCTGCCGATGGGCGCAGGTCCCTACTTTCAGCGTTCATTCGGACATGCGTTACCGAAAGCGACTCCTGAACAGTTGGGGGGAGAAAACAAAAGCTGCGGCGGCGGGTGGGCGCCGCGGTCCGTGTACTTCGCGAGGACGTTGGTGTCCAAGTAGGCGTCCCTGTGGCGCTCGGGATTGTACTTGTCCAGGTAGAGGTCCTTGTGGTCCGACTCAGCGGACACGAGGACCATGAATGCGGTGGGCCAAAAATCCACAGGATTCCTGCCGAACGCTAAGTCGATGATGGGGGGGAAAACAAAGCACAGGACTGGAGGAGATGCCGCGAGGGCCATGGCGGCAAGAAGTGTCGATCGGGGTGTCGCTCCGCTACCAAATACGAATGCGGATGTTGTAAGATGATGCTTTACCTGGATGTGGAATGAATGCGTCTCTAATGCGAGTCTCATGCGGGCACGATAAAGAATTCCTTGAACCCCGAATGGCCGCGGGGAAAAGCAGGAACGGCAGGCAGCATATACAAATATACCGCTCGAGTGTTCGCGCCATGCTGGAGGCCCTGGGACCCCCTGGGCCTCATGAGGAGTGCTCTGGAAGCCACTGAGGCCTCTCGGGACACTTTTGGACGCCCAAAATGGGTACAGAAGAAAAAGGTCCCAAACTGGCAGCGGCCGCTGCTGGGCAGGCGGCCTTCTGCCTCAAGTGAACGAGGCCCGAGGCGGCACCAACAGCACATCCCGTTCAAAAACTGATCGGAACTGTTGTCGGTTTCCGTGGCCGCTCCTTCCGTACCCATTTCGATGGTCCCGAATCCTGGTGGGCACCATCCAGCAAGAAAAACTTCGGTGCTACAATTAGGCCGGGCCTGTCCCCCTACAGGCGGATTTTGTATGTTTTTTTTTTTCTATTTATAACTCGTAGTCTTAAGATTAGTATCCGTTTCATTGTTGTTATTATTGGTGGCAGTAATATTATTATTGTGTTAGTTCGTACACATTTTCTACTACAGAAAAAGATAAGCAAACCAGTCAGGAAAAGTCCCCATACTATTTTTTACTATGTTTGAATCTTGTATTCCGGACCCGCGGGCCGCCGCCCCTGGCCCAGGCTGGAGTACGAAAGCGTGCGCGGCATGGCCGCTCCTGGCCGCGTGCGCGGTGCAGGGGAGGCAGGAGCACGATAGACCGCGGCGCACTGCTGGGAGGAGGAGGAGGAGGAGGAGGAGGAGGAGGAGGAGGAGGAGGAGGAGGTGAAGGAGGAGGAGGAGGAAGAGGAGGAGGATAAGGTGTGGATCAGTGAAGGGGGGGGTGCGGAAGAGGAGGGGGAGGAGGACAAGGTGAACCCAGGAGGAGCAAAGCATCGGGCGAACAGAATTCAAAAGTCTCTGCGACCCAGCGGCTCTGGAGGATGTCTCGGGCGACGCGGTCTTCTCAGATCGTTCGGGAACGCTTTGAGAGCGTTCCAAAACGCTCTGGAAAGGATCATCCTCGTCCTAGCCTTATGTTGACCCCATCGTACTGAAGGACCACATCCAAGAAATAACTTCGAGCACCCGGAAAAGTGACGAAACAATGTCGAAACGTTGTCTCCCAGGGCCCGACACGTGAAAACCCGAGAGGTTCGGTACTTTCCTGGTGCTCGAAATTCTTTCTGGTGGCTCGTGCTAAAGTAGGCTGGAGCATCATAATGCTAGCCCCGTCCTGGAGGAGACGGGGCACCGTTCGTGGGCGTCCACGAGGGGGGCGTCCAAGAGGAGGGGGGGGGCGCGCAAATCCTGGCCGGCGGCCCGTGCACGGCCCCAGAGGGGGGCGCGCCAGGGACGTGATGAAGCAGGCAAGGAGGCGCCGTGAAGTCTGGGGAGACAGCAAGGCCCCCGCCCACGAATACTCGGGGAGGGCGAAAAGGGGGGGACAGCAAAGGGTGGGGTAGAGAACCAGCTCACGTAGCTGATTCTCCTAGCGCCTCCCGGCGCCGGGAGGCGCCCATGTATCGAGGGATGGGCCCGGCGGGGCCGAAACCAGCTGCATGCAACAGATTTCGAACCCCCCCCGTTCCTTATCCCCCTTTCGTTCGGCCCGAATGACAGCCACCCCCACCTGGTCATCACCCTTCTGTTCGCCGTCCCCGACAAAGAGAGACGGGGCACCGTACAGCGAAGTCCTGTCCACAAGAAACCTGCCGCAAGAGACCCAGCCCTGAGACCCCAGGGCGCCCACTGATGTTCGGGGCGTGGGAACGTCGCGCTCTCCACAGCGAAACCATCGAAACCCAAGAAGCCCAGCACACCCTGGAGGCAAGCAGGGTGCTTCTTGGCATGGGCCTCCACTCGGGAGCGGCAAAGAGGGGGGCGTCAACGAGGGGGGGGTGCAAATCATGACCGGCGGCATGTGCGCGGCCCAGCGGGGGGGGCCAGGGACGTAATGAAACAAGAAGAGGCGCCATGAAATCTGGGGAAATATTATGGCCCGCGCCATGATATCCACCCCCCCCTAGTCATCACCCCCCTCTTTACCGCCCCCGATCCACTGTAGGCCAGAGGCGCCCTTGGCAGCGCCCGGGACGTAGGCGAAGAAGCGCTGGTAGGCCCCCGACGCGAACCAGTCCTGGGGCACGGTAGGAAGGCACCAACTATACAGCAACACCGATCCTGGCCAGGATCACCCTGGGCCCAGGATCGGTTTTATACGCCCTCAGGATCGGTGTTGGTGTATAGTTGGTGCCCTCCGAAACGGGGGGCGGCCAGAGCGCGGGGGCGCGGGGGCCTGCGCGCCGAGAGGCCGCGGCCGGACGCGGTGCCGCTCGCGCGAGGTGTCGGCTGTGGCGGAGAGATACGGTCAAAACGTGTATTAAGGACGGGTGATAAGGACGCAAGACCCTTGGAGGCCGAAGTTGGGCTTTTAAGGGCGGAGGGCGACCAGTGATCATGGCAAGGACGAGCCTCGGAGGCAAGGACACAAGGGTACCCTAGATGAAGGCGCGCGTGCTTACTGTAAGGTCCCTTTCCCTGGATCCGGCCCCTGGGGGTAAGCCTCGTGAGCTCCGCGGGCCACCTCGGAGCCATCCTCTGGGCCCCCTCGGGGCCTCCCGAGGGCGTGCCGGAGGGCACCCCGCAACGTCTGGCAAGGACAGTCTCCGAGCCACCAGCCAGGACCACCTTGGACCCTCTCGGACCCGCGGATCCCCCGGCCTCTGGCGCTGCGCATACAATCGAAGCGTGGGCCTCTGCCCTGAGGATGGCTTGGGGCTCCCCCCCCCCAAGCGGCAACGGTGGCTGCTGCCAAGCCCGAGACGGCGAAAAAGCGGCGCTGGCTGAGGAGCGCCACCGCACGCAGGAGCGGGGACCCCCACCCCTACCATCGGGAGCGGCCAAGAGGGGGGTGTCCAAGAGGGGGGGGTGCAAATCATGACCGGCGGCATGTGCGCGGCCCAGCGGGGGGACCAGGGACGTAATGAAACGAGAAGAGGCGCCAAAAAACCTGGGGAGATATCATGGCCCCCGCCATGATATCCATCCCCCCCGAGTCATCACCCCCCTCTCTTTTCCGCCCCCGACAGGAGCGGGGACCCCCACCCCTGCCAGCCGCAGCGCCCGGCCGGGGTGCACGGCGCCTTGTCGCTGCTCGCAGCTGGCACGCGCCGACGGGGTCCGTGCCCCACCACCGCCACCGTGCCCGTCCGGGGCCGTCCTCGGCCCTGGCACGGTGCATACGCCCTCCAGGCCCTTAAGGGTCGGGCCTATACAGTCGGGGCGTGGACCTAAGGAACCCTAAGTAAGGAACGAGGCCCCTTTGTTCCATAAGTTGAACTTCGATTCCCCATCGAAATTATACGGACAACCTACGGCAACCTGCGGAACAATGAAGGAACACGGAGCCCCTCCCCAACGAAAAGGGTTCCTTGTTCAGCGCCCCGATTGTGCACCAACCCGGGGCCCAGGACGGCCCCGGCAGGGCATGGTGGTGTTGAGTGGGCACCTCCTGCAGACGCCAGCGAGGGCGTCAAAGCTTGAGGATCCGCGGCCTCGGTCCTGACGTCGCCTCCTCCTGTGGCGTGACGAGAGCAGGCGTCGACCTCGAGCGCAAGTGCTGCGCTTCTCAACCTGGCCCGTACAAGATGCGATGTGTGTATACATGTATATTCCTCTTCCTATATTTCCCAACCCTCCTGCGTTGGGTACTCGTTTTGAATAGAGCACTGCGGTCTCCACCTTCCTTCCTTCCCGCCTCCTCCTCCTCTCTTCCCTCTTCCTCTCCTCTCTTGCTTCCCTTCTCCGCCTCTCTTCGCTCCTCCTCTTCTCTTCTCTTCTCTTGCCTTTTACGTCATCCCTGGGGGGCTGCGATCTGCGGAACTGTCACCACTTTCGAGGGCTGCTGGTGGGTCCAGCGGAGTGAGGCACCACGGGGACTCAGATTAGACCTCGCCATTCTGGGGGGGGGGCTGCGATCTGTGAAACTGTCGCCACTTTCGAGGGCTGCTGGTGGGTCCAGCGGAGTGAGGCACCACGGGAACTCAGATTAGACCTCGCCATTTCTGGGGGAGGGGGTGCGATCTGTGAAACTATCGCCACTTTCGAGGGCTGCTGGTGGGTCCAGGCACCACGGGGACTCAGATTAGACCTCGCCGTCTCTGGGGGGCTGCGATCTGTGGAACTGTCGCCACTTTCGAGGGCTGCTGGTGGGCCCAGCGGAGTGAGGCGCCACGGGGACTCAGATTAGACCTCGCCATCGCTGGGGGGCTGCGATCTGTGAAACTGTCGCCACTTTCGAGGGTTGCTGGTGGGTCCAGCGGAGTGAGGCACCACGGGGACTCAGATTAGACCTCGCCATCCCTGTGTGAAACTGTCGCCACTTTCGAGGCTGCTGGTGGGTCCAGCGGAGTGAGGCACCACGGGGACTCAGATTAGACCTCGCCACCCCTGGGCGGCTGCGATCTGTGAAACTGTCGCCACTTTCGAGGGCTGCTGGTGGGTGGCCAGCGGAGTGAGGCACCACGGGGACTCAGATTCCTGACCACGAGCAATGCTCGCGTGTCCTTGCTCTGCGGTTCGCGCCACGTGGCGCTGCGACTCGAGCTGGCGGTCGTCCTTCGGACCCGCAGAAACATCTGCTGAGCTCGATGAGCTAGGGGAACTACAGGAAAGAAGTGCAGGAAACGGAGGCCGGTCATGCACTCGCCGATACCTCGTTGCTCTGTCATCGTCTTTGCTGTTGCATGATCCTTATCTGGCCTGCCGGCGCCGCGGCTCGAGCTGGCGGTCGCCCTTCGGGCCCGCGGGAACATCTTCTGAGACAAGTGGACGCCGCCGCCTTACTTGCAGGCAGCGCATTGCATTCGC